GCAACAATCTGTGCACACAGTACACCCTGAAGTCTATTGCAGCTCCTTGGTACAGCATCAGTTCAATGGACCATTTTGGCAGCACTCATATTTGCACAAACTAATGTTTTAATGAGCCCTGTATTCAGAGGGAGAATGAGGTCTTTTACAACAGGTGGATGTGGATTCCCAAAGCCTGTGTAACTTGTTGAGGATAACAAGATCAGCTTCTGAGCAACAGCTAAAAGTCACTGGAGGCAGGGGTCTCTTTACACAGACCTACAGTATAAACACTTGAACAGCCTGGTTGAGGTTGCAGCATGGTCAGCATCAACCATCAACCGACCTTTCCATGGTCGGTTTCACAGCCTACAGAATTGAGTTGCCAGGTGATTGCATTCTGATCAGGAATGTACCTGAGAGCTACAGCCCTCAGCAATTGAGCTATTGAATCCTTTCTGAAGCTGGAGCAGATAAGATATCAGTGCAGCAGGGGCAAAGGACAGTTTGGGATCTCAGTGCTGAATTCCTGCTTCAGCTAATGATTTGATGCATACCCTGCTCAAGTCATTGTCATACAATTACTGCAATCAATCTGTCCTGTCACCAGGCGGTGAGTGGCTGAAGCAAGTGCTTCAGTACCAGGGGAAACACAAAGGTACAGTACTTCTGCATGCTTGAGACCATCTTCCCTTTTTTTTATTTTTTTAAATGAGCATTACTTCGGGCTGGGTAAAATGGATAAATTAGTGGGAGGAGGCAAAAGCATCTTGAAAGTCCAGGCCTGTTGCTGCCTCCCTAGATTAAGTTGCAGGCTTCATTATGTGAAGATAGATAATTCTTAATGGAGGAGCAATCCATGTAGGCAAGTGGCAGAGAAAACAAAGGTTTACTTTTGTGTTCCTTTTAGGCTGTAGAGATAGGGCCTTGCTAGTGCCCAAATACACATCTTAAAAGCTATTTCACAAAGATTTTAGCAGACTCTCCCTCTGGCCTATTCTGGCAAGAGTTTAGTTGTCTGCAAATCATGGGACTGCTCACAGGAAGACTATGGTATTCCTTGGCCAATGAATAATTTGATTCAGTTTCAGATGGAAATACTCCAGGAAGGATAGCAGAAAACTCATTCTGATAGCAGAAAAAGCCCAAAGGATGTTAACTGTGACCACAAGTGCTCAGAAATGCCTACTGCTAATCCTTGATCCAACCCACACGAGATGCTTCTAAAAACAGAATCCTTGTACAAAGGACAGCTCACACAGGTGAACAGCTGGGTGTATTCCCAGAAGCCAGCTGAAATAAAATGGAATGATAATCCCTTTGTGCTAAGGGAAGGGATTAAATGTACTCAGACACTGCTCAGATGGAGGTGTTACACTGTCACTTTCATCCTTGATTCCAGGCAGATTGACCATAAGGGAAAATTTAAAGGAAATGGGGAGAAGTGAAATTAAAAAGCATGACTTCAAGGAAGAATCAGTAATGTTGCAAAAAAATAAGTCAATTTAATTAGTTATTGCATGGGGTCTCCTGAAGAAAGGCAGAGGCTCCCTCTTCAGGCTTGTCACTCATCCACCATCACATTCTTAGCTCCTGGGGTTTAGGGGGTTTATACTCTTCACAGGTATACTCACATGGAGAGATTGTCTGAGATAATACAGAACAGTTACAGGCCTCAGAGGATCATGAACAGTCACACTGTGCCCTGTGCCATGCCAGTGCTGTCCTGCAGGGACACAGAATGATGGGATGGTCCAAGGTGGGGAAGGGGCTTCTGGGTGTTTATATCACCTGACTCCTGCTGGAAGCACGCTCAGCTCCGCCAGGTTGCCCAGAACCATGTCCTATATTTGATTTATAGTGTCTCTGGAATGGAGACTCCAAAATCAGCTTGGGAAATGTAGTCCAGTATTTTACTACCTTACCAGCAGAGAAGGTTTTTATTTTTTCTGCATAAGTGAAATTTCCTGTATTTCAGTCTCATGGCCTCTTGTCCTGTCACTGGACACAGCTGAGTAAAACCTGGGTTCAGCCTCTCCATTCCCTCCCAGCAGATATTCATACTTATCAATGAGGTCTTCCCTGAGCCTTCTCTTCTGCAGTTACTGCTATAAAATAAATGTGCTTCTGAAGACTCATTTTTATCAGGCAGGAGAGGAGTTAAGTCCTTAAGAAGGTTCTCCCTTCCTGTCACAGGAAGATAGGTTTCCAGCTGGGCTCATCTGGTCAAGTATTTAAACAGGTGAAGGCCACCTCTTTGGCTGGTTGAAAGGAAATTCATCTGTCTTTAAGACTCTTTAAAAAATCATATATTTCTGAGAAAGCCTCATCAGAGATGTTTGAAGATAGGCCTGCAAGTTAGAGGGGGGCAAAGCAATGCAGTAGAAGACTTGCAGACCCAATTCAAAGGCAGAGTTTAAGCCTGGGAAGGACAGAGGGACTTGGCCTATATTTCTCTGGTAAATAATTTAGCTTGAGTTTTTTTCTTGATCATTTTCTTCTTCAGTATAAGAACTTTGAATTAATTACCCATTCAGGTACATTAGACTAGACTAGACATGACTGTAACACCAGATGGAAAACAATTTTGGTGGGCTCCCCCCCATTTTAGTGTGTTGCTTTGTATTTTAGAGTATTTGATTCATTTTGAGGTTTTGGCTTATCAGGTGTTATTAACTGCAAAGCCATAATCCGATTTGAGCACTTCAATTTTCCTGACTGTTAGAGGGCATAGGACTTGTTTTCCTATGCTCTTAGAGGTCAGCTAAGCTGTAAGTGGTGAACACCTACAAGGCTGCCTGTGCTGCAGCTGCTTTCCGTAAGCGTCAGCCTTACTGGGGCAATTACGTAAAACACCTGCATAAGCAAACAAAAAGGCAACTGGATACTTCAGCCTGGAAAAACTCATGATGCCTCAATGCTTGTATTAGAGTCAGCAGCAAGAAGAAAATCAACCTCCTGGCATTAGCAAACTCAGAGTTGAGAAATATTATCCTCAGAAGTTTTCACAACTTCTAAAATACCATGAATAAGTGAATAAGTGACTCTTTCAATCGAAACTCCTGTTTTGGGTAGTTGATCAGCTATGTTCAGTGGTGCTCACATGGTGGAAGATCACATCTCAATTTATATTTTAAAAAAACCCAAGACAATTGTTTGATGAAAAGAAGGTCTTTGTACCAAGATCCTGGGCTCATGTTCAACTAAGCAAATATTATTTGTTTCAGCTGCACTGGAAGTAATACTTTTGCTGTCCTTTCCAAAGGCAGTTGTTTTGAGCAAGCCTCTTCAGTTCTGGAGAAATGTTACTGCAAAGCAAGGCTTATGTTCTTCTTTCCAGAAATCCACTCAGGTTATCTCAAATACAATTTGAGCTGCAATATACTGAGGTGTGGTATGGTAGAACGTAATTACTGCAACTGAGTTCCTTTTCAGGTGAAATTCAGAAATAATGCCAAGGGAAGCAAATACATATGACATAAAAAGCCTAACAGGACAGATCTGTAGACTGAGGATTAGGCACCATAGTGTCTGCATTATCAAATTCTGCTTATTGCATCATTTTTTTCTAAGCTGCTCCCATTTCTCAGACTGCCTTTGGAGAGGCACTGCTGAGCACAGCACCTATGCTACTTCTAAGTGCTTCATCTGAGAAGATTTTTTTTTTCCCTTTTTGGGGAGGATGGTATTTCTGCTCCCAGGGCTTGGCTTTTCAGTCAGCCATAGTGACTGTGGTGAAAGGCTGAGCATATGATGGGGGCTAATGGGCAAAAATACTTCTATTTTTTTAGTCTGGGTAGTAATTGCTGTAGGTAACTCTTAGTTTCCTTAGAGAACTGATGAAAGAACAATTAGAGAAATATATCAATTTGTGGAAATCCTATCTGTGGATTGCCAAGCAGGGGAAGTTTTCCTGGAGAAATCTGTGCAATGGTATTGCTCAGTGTGAGGACCTTTCTTGCAGGACTGCTGGGGAGGTCATGCCACAAGCTGCGTGCTCACTGGGCCATCCCATGCTCACCACGCCTTTTCCAGCTGTTGGCAGCTGGGTAGCTGTCCTGCCTCTAGGCTGCAGCTCCAGCTTGCATGGGTGCCTGAATTGTGGACCATATTTGGCCTGGGTAGGAAATGTAATGAGTCATACCTGTTGATAGCTTTTTGCAGCAAGATTAAAACAAAGAGTAGCCTTATATTCACAAAATGAATAGAATAATTAGATGCTATTTGTTTTCGAGTACTGTGTGCCCTGAACAAAAAAATGCATGTAAGTTTAATCTGCATATTTAAATGAAAGGCATTTCAGTTCAGACTTAATGCTGGTGACTGTCACTGAAATGTACTCTAATATTATCAATAGTGCCATAGAAGCAAAGGCTGATGCTGAACAATCTGTCCTTGTAGCAGAGGTAAAATGAAGTTTAATGCTGTGGAGGGTCTGTGACCTAACCTTCTTTGCACTGAGGTGATTGATGTAAAACACAGGAGTGGTGCCCCAAAGCACATCTTAGCCTGGGCTGTGCACAGTGTTATGCTGCCTGCAGAGTGAGGAAAGGATCTACATTCTTTGAGTGTTTTGTGCCTCCATTAGGATTGATAGAGCAAGTCATGTTTTGTGCTGCTGCATCTTTGCATTTAGGGTATCCTTTTCAGAGGAAAAGAACCTCCAGTAGTTCTTTGTTCCTGTCAGAAACAGAAATAGCTATTGCCCAGGTTTCTGGTAATAGGTGGCAATGGAGACAAGGTACTGGGAACTGAGCACAGTCAGTGGGATGAGAGGAAGGGTCCAAACAAACAGGAGTGAATAGAATTCACAGCCCTTTTTGTTTAGCTAACCATCACAGCTGACCAGACAGCTCTGTCTTCTGGTTTTGTTATTCCTTCTCCTGCTACTTTTCTCTTTCTGGCTATAAATATTCGACTGCTGCAAAATTAGTTATCCTGAGTGGTACAGTGAGAACTTGACCTTGTCAAGCATTGCATGTTCTAGACAGGAAAGAACTGAACAACATTTTCCACTTTACGTCTGTTCTGTTAAATCTAAATTATTTTTCTACTTACCTTTCTCAGCCTCTTCAGTGCAAAGTCAGGAAACATCTGAAGGAGCACAGGGTGAAGGAAAGTAATCTGAAAAACCTTAGAGTTGCTTCTTTTTAGTGGGAGGACAAGACAAATTTCTGTGTCTTCATTACGTTGCTATGATGAAGGGGAAAGGGGCAATCCATTACACCACACAGAACTCTAGTTCCACAGGTTTCTTCTATAGCATGTCCAATTCAACGTCACTGAAATATAAACATTAACACAATCCATTGACAGAGCACAACTTGCTCAGGTATACAAAGCAGAAAACATTTAATGAGGAAACTGGTGATAGTAAAGTACATCATAAAAACACAATTACTGACCTCCTAATTTAATGAAGCATTGAGCCTCATTGGAACAAGGAGTTTGTGCAATAGAATAGTTTAGGAAATAAGAGACCTATTTTTATTTCCCAATACTTTAAAATGGTTCTAGGGGTGAAAACAAAACAAAAAAGGAAGGCCATGGTGATGTCAAACTAACTGTCCAGGTGAGGAAAGATTTTGGATTTGCTAATTCACGATGTGCCTTGGCCATATGGGGTTTTCCTTCCCTCCTATTCCCCCATCCCTTCCAGTTCCTGAGTCTCTCTATACAGGCATCAGTGTTACTAATAATGTAACAAAATTGAGGTGAGAGGGAAGCACACAGGCAGACTCTATGTCCCTGCTCAGCGTGTATGAAAGCAGATTCATAATTTATGCAGCTGCTGAATAAATCCAGGCACCAGTGCCTTGCAATGATTAATTTAACACAGCTTACTTAGCAATGACACCACAAACAATAGCTAATGGCAGGTTGTTTCACTCTTGTAAGTGCGTATTAGCTGTTACTTTTAAGAAAGAACAAAGGACTGAAAGTCTGTTTTTCCTAGTCAGTCTGACAGATAAAACGGGAGGTTGCGTATTTCTGGCTTTTCCCACATAATTGCTCAGGTGTGTGTTGGCTGCTTGAAGCAGCTGTGGCCTGCAAAGGAGAGGGTAACAGCTACCCCCATGCACGATTAGGGCTCACTATAATGTACAATCAAGGTGAATGCTTATCTCTTTCATGAGCCCAGTGGGTACAGATAGCACTCAGCCAGGCTGCCAGTACCACCAGGCTTGGTTTGTTTTGGAATTAACAGTTGCTTCACACCTGGGACAAAGCACCCAGCCTCCAAGTGCACCTGGACAAATGTCGTGAAGACCACTTAATGCCGTGAGCTGCTGATGTTTCTGGGTGCAGTTTTGATTTACCAAACAGGTTCTTGAGGCAAGGTTGGCCAGTTGGGTTCATCAGCTCTGCAGTGAGCATACTTCCCAGACTGCCTCAAAACAGGCAGATCACTGGACCTGCCATGAAAAAAAATTAACTTGATTTAAAAATACTTGTAACCTGTAATTGAATGTTTTTGTCAGGGAAATTGCCAAATCCTCATTTCACATGAATAGATATGTGAGTCATTACAGTTGAGCATGTTTATTGTACATGGCAATTCTTTTCAAAACACACATTTAAACAGATGACTTATGCTGACTATTAATGCAGTTCCTGCAATTAAGTTCAATCTGAACGAAGCAGACAGAGGCTGACATTCTATTGACATCAAAGCTGCTGTAATGCATCTTCTCCCCACAAATGTTCAAATTTGGATCTGCTACTACAGCCTACTGAAATGTCAACTGTGATAAGTCACAATGCAACTGAAGAGAAGAGATAAGGTACCTGGTGTCTTCCTAAATTACTTTTTTACAGGGATTTATTATTTGCATATTCATGCTATTACATTTCAATGGTGAAAGTTCATGTTTGAGCAAATTGCTAGAAATAAACACAGCAGGAGGAAGAAGCTTGTCTCCCTGTCTCTACAGATGTGTTGAGCTCAAACCACACTCAAGTGAACTCCCCACCCAAGGAACCCGAGTCCACGGTGGTGCTCTGCCCACAAATGCTGCTGGCAGGTTTATGGTCCAGCAGGCAAATGACAAAAGACAGGAATGGCCACAAACCTGGTGAAACCCAAAGCTCTTGTAGTGCAGTGTTGTTTTGAGGCAGGATATTGCAGCTCAGGTGACACAGTCTGAGGTTGCTTTGGGGCTTCCTGATATGCTGTGTTTAAAAGTGCCAGACAGGTTTTTCATCTAAGAATTTTTAGCAGTGTCTTTGGAATTTATATAAACATTCATTCCTGCAGCAAAGCGCTTCATACTTTAGCTGTGCACTATGTGAAAAAGTGTCTTGGCTTCTTTTGGACTAGCTACTATCTTTATTTGATAATCTGCAAGTCTTTCATTGGAAGAATCACTGAACAATTGTTCCCTACTCACTGTATTTTGTCACCAATCATTTTACAAGTCTATTCTATCATCTGGTGTATTTTGCAGCCTGAGGGATTCTACGCTATTTTTATCACTTTTCCCTGTATTAATGCATCAATAATTTACTTACCTATCTCAGTCATTTCCAAACACCTGTCTGCAGCAGGTAATGTGTTGGCCCTGTAGCTGGGTTTGTATGGCTGCAATTCAGCAAAGAGGGTACCCAGCCCCTAGTGATCCTTTTAGGAGTTGACTGTGGCTTCTGAAATGACACAGAAGAATGGGTGTAGCTAGGTTTAGTGAATTAGAGTAAGAGGAACAGTTTAACAAGCATACCATGTCTGTTAGATACTGCTTGCCTTCCCCTCCTTCCTTGGTACTCTCCTAAAGCAAATTCCATCTTTACTACTCCTTCTACTCCAATGTTCACTTAGATTTAATAGTGGGAAAATACATTCCATACATGTCTTTAGAAAGAGATATTTTCAAATGTCCTTTCATTATTCAGTAGCAACTTTGTAAACATGCATGGGAGCAGCTTTCATACAGCACAGGGCTGTGCAGTAGTTATGCTATTTTTCCTATCTGCTCTAGCAGGCCCTGTGACACACATTCTTGAAAGACCTCCAAGTGCCACTGCATGATGCTGGACAAGGCTGAGGTTGAAGCAGAACAAGGTCCCTTCTATTTCCAAGTCTGGCACATGTTCAGTGTTGCAGGCCTGGCACTGCCCAGCAGTGAAACAGCAGTTCCATATTGGAACTCCACCATCTGTTGGAGCAGAGAGCTCATTTGCAATCAACTCATGCAGATACCCAGGCAGCCATAGTCAACGATCTAATCAAGTCTGAACATCAATACATGCAACCTAAACCACAAATCATCACCATTCTTTGAGTGGAATTCATTGCTAGAATTAAAAAAAAAAACCCACTATATTTTTGGGAAAGACTCTCTGAGGAACAACACGAAAGCTCTCTGAGGAACAGCATGCAGTGCTTAAATCTCTTCTGATTTTTTTTAATTAGCTTTAACAAAATTTACACCTCATGAAGAAGAAGAATAGCTATATACCTCATTACATAAGTTCTGACCTTTCATTTCAGTGAATATATTATAAAAGTAATGAACTTTACAGAGTTATTATTTTAGCACTTTCAGATATTCTGTAAAAACCAAACCAACCCTCCAAAAGCTCACACCACAACCAACCCTCCCCCCTCCAAAACACAGCTCCAAAATCCCCCAAACTCTCCAAAAATCTAACCCAAACAACACTTCACCTTAAACCCCTGCAAACTCATATACACTCTGTCACAAAGCCAGTGAAATATCCTGACAAGAGGAGATTTTCTCTCTAAAAAGCTATAGTTAGTATTTTAGCTGACCCACAGTTCTAGAAAGGAAGTCTTGAACCCAAAGGGAGAACAGCCTGGATGCTTCTCCAGTAAGATGTAACTACAGCAACCACAAGGCACAGCTATTTGTCTTTACAGAAAGAGAGGAACAAAGTTGCGCTGTAGCTTGATTAAATATTTGTGAAGCTGATTTAACATCCTTTTGCCAGGTGAACGTATCATGCTCTAAACAGCTGTGTAAAAATAACCTATGAAAACAGATTTTTTTTTATAACTTTTCTTGAAAAATGGCTCCAGAGAAGTACAGGTAATGAACAGGTTCCAGAAACATTAGGAAGCTGAATACAGCTCATAAAGCTGGTTATTTAGGTTGCTTGATATTTCTTGTCATTTGAGCTGGATTTCAGTCATTGATAACTTTGTCAAATCACAAGTTCTTGTTCTCATGTTTTCTAACCTGGATGTTAACCTCAGACTGTATTTCAGTCAGAAAACTATTTAATTTTCCTTGTTTCTGATCAAGCTGTGTGTACATGAACTCTAAAGAGTAATTAAGCCTGTTTGGCCCACGTATGCAAACAGAGTCAGACTTTGCCCATCAAAGCTGCTCTGGGCCCAGCACAGAGCTTCTATTTTTTTGTGCTTACATTGATCCTGTGCTAGAACATGATGGATATATAAGAAGGAGTAGTGAAGACCAAGATGAGGGAGGGGTCACCTCAGGGTGCTGGTAGGATATGGCAGCCCTCTGCAGGAGTGGGTAATGACTCTGGGAAGACAGTGGTGGCTGGGGGCACCAGCCCAGCTGGCCAAGGACTCTGCAGGAAAACAGCTCAAAGAACTGGGGCTCTGAGAAGACAAAAGAGGGAGGAGAGTCAAACTAGCAGAAGAGGTAAAGCAATGGAGATTTGGGAGGGATTGTAGTGGCACTGGTCCAGGTAAGAAAATCAACAATAGCAGTTGACAACAGCAGTTTCTCAAGCAGCAGAACCAGTTTCTTGGGTTTGAGGCTAAAATATCCCAGATTAATAGAATTTGTTTTTTAATGTGAGTTTTCTGAAAGTTGTTTTGAAATAACCTATTTCAACAGTATAACATTAATATGATTGCTACCATCACAGGAAGCAGATGGATCTTTGCTTGAGCAGAAGCTTCCCAAGTTATTCTTGAAGGATGTTGGGAGTGGGAAATTGTTGGTCAAAGAGCAAGGGATGATGGGGGAAGGCAGCTCGGGTAGTCAATTTGAGTCAGAGGAAATCTGAAGAATGCTATTGGTCAGCAATGAAAGCCTGCAGGTTACATGCATTCATTGAAAAAATTCTCAAATACAAATTATAATTGAAGGGAAAATGGCCACCTTATGGCCACCACGTTTCTTGAATTTTCCTCCTTACTGTATTAAATAAATTATATCATTTTGCTGGTGCCTTATTTTTAGCTTCTTGTTTTTAAGCTTATTGGCATTTCCTCCAGTCCCATAAAAACTAATTTACTGAGAGATTATAAAATAGTTAGTTTGTGTTGATTTAGGCAGACATTCAGATTCTGCCCAACATTGATCTCTGCTTCCCTTTGACTTGTAGATAAATGCAACAAACTTTCCACAGTCACATGGGTAAATAAAGATCTTTACAGATAGAGAGATTATTGTAGTCCCCTTTGAAAAGTTGTATCATACTTCAAAACAGCAGCTCTCATTTTAACTTTGTGTCTGCTGAGCACCAGTAGCATTCCAGGTCTGTGCTTCCATGTTCTGCACTGCCAGCTATAAGGAATGCAAGTCTTTCTTGGTCTTTTTTGATAAACTGGCAGGCCATAAATCTTGATACTCAGATAGAATTAGGTGTGAATGATGATCAGATTTTTATTTTGTGGTTTGTATTAATTTTGTGGTTTGGTCATGTGTCATCTCCCCCCTGCCCCAAGCATTTGCTGCAAGTGAACAAATTTTGCTTTTTCCATCTAGTGGCAGTCTGTCTGCATGTGTCAAAGCACCAGCAGGTTTTGTCCTTGCTTGTATGCAGAGTATGAACCATCATTCAGGGAGACAGCTTGTGAGGTATCCTGGCCATGCTGCCAGCTGTGGCACAGTGGAGTTGTCCTTTCTTCTTTATCATTTGCCTTTGGCAACTGAGCATGTAGAAAGAGGTGGTGCAAGCAGGATACACACACCTTTAAGCTACAAAGCAATTATTTGTTGCCTTATGAACATAGCTGAGACTGACAAATTTCCAGGCTAAGGAGAGCTGGCAGAGGCCTGACAGCAGCAGGGGAAAACAGTGTTGTCTTGTTCCCTGGTACTGGCTCACCCTCAGAGCTGCTGAGTTGCCATCCTTGAATCCCTGATTTTGATTTAGGTCTTTATGCCTTTCCAGGAAGTGAAATTCTCCATCTCAACAATCTTGCCTCTACCTGCAAAGTCCTTTTTCTCAGCTGACACACAGTCTCACAGCTGTTGGTCACAATTTGCTGGTTTTCTCGGAAGTCCGAGTGAGGATTATGCTGCTGTACTTTAAGACACAGGCTCAGGTTACAGACAGCTGAAACGAAAGGAGGAAGGTAACAGAGGAGCTCTAGTATCTGTGGCTGTGTGCTGAGCAGGCTGGTTGGTCTGGGAAATCTGGCACACTCACACACCCCCGACTCTGTGTGGGCACACAGCTAAGAGCCCATAGCTCTGCGAGGTATTGCCTGTAAGAGGCAATAAAGCCTCTTTAGCCAGGGTTAAGGAACTACAGAGATCTAAGCAGGCCTTTTGCCATTTTCTACTCCAACCCTTTCTCCTGTAAATCTCATTGCAGTTGCACAGCTATTGTTTACCCTCTTTCATTATTTGTTGCCTTTACCTATATGAGCATAAAGCTTGCTAAGGGTTTTTCATAAAGGTTCATCTCTGGACCAGCCTCAGGACTAACAACAGTAGATCAATATGGCCAAATTTCAGATCACTCTGTTTTGATTTCAATTTAATCAACAGGATTATGAGCTGAGGTTTGCTTTCAGCTAGTTATGGACTGTCTCTGCAAACCAGTACTGTCTGATTTTCTGTGCTGACCAACAGACAAGTTAATTGTGCACTCTGGACACCACCTGTGGAACCCAGTCCTCTCCAAGAGGGAAATCTTTAAATTTATGTCCTCTTCAGAGCTAGTATTCATCCCTCTATGCTACAAAGGAAAATCTCAGAAAGAATCAAACTATGTATTTTAGGTTAGGCAACTAGAAATTATTTTTTTTTTATTTTTAGTTCACCTGAGAAATAATTCTTCTTTTTTTCTTTTTTTTTTTATATTTTTTTAGTTCATCTGAGAACATGTAATAATTTATGTGCAGATTGTATTTTTCAAGATTATTCTTCTGCATCTACTGAAGTTTTGGGGTTTCCGTGTAATCTGAGCACATTTTCTTTCATTAAGAAGTAAAAACCTAAACTGCTGTAAATATACCTAAGTTGCCATTTCTCGTCTTTATGGTATGTAAATGGATTGTATTTTGGAGTTTGAACTATTCAAATCCCAGTCTAAATTCTATGGCTACATATTCTTAGTGATTCTTACATATTCTCTAAAAGCTATTGTTATACAAAATATTTTCTAAGTGAAAAGATATATTTCTATGCAGTTTACTAGCATTAATTATGGAAAAAATTGGAAAAAACCTTTTTTTTCCAATCACAGCCTGAAAAACTCCTATATGATTGAACTGACTGATGCCTTTATTAATTATGAGATGCTTTTATCCTTTCCTGACTATACCGATTCCCAGAAACAGTGGTGCTTGTACACACAGTTTAACTCCCTTGTAAACACACCCATCTGCTCAGTGTTTTCCTTCCTGCATAACTTTTACCTCAGTGGTAAAAGCAGCTCACTGAGGGCATTAGGCAAGAAATACATCTGTTCCTGCAGATTGCCTTGTTAAAATGAAATGG